TCAATCCATTCCATAGTGCTTTAGCCAGTCATCCTATAATTTCATAATAAACTTAGCCAACACATGCTCAATTTGACAGACAATGACATTCTAGAGTGTTGGGAGACCAGGAAACTACATTAAATTCACTCTTGAACTTATTGTTCTCTTTTCATTTTTCAAAGAAAAGATTCTATTTGTATTTGCAGCAAGGGAGACAAAACTATATACCTATTTATTTGCTTACATCATACACACACTTCAATTTACAACAATAAAGGGTCCTTTACCACTAAAAAAATATCCAATTAGGGGTGGGCAAAAAACCGCCCAACCCGCTCAAACCGACCGGTTTGGGTTGGGTCGGTTTTTTTAATTTTTGTGGCTGGGTTCGGTTTTTTGTGATCATGGCGGGTTGGGTCGGGTCACGGGTTGGTCCACAAAAACCGCCCAAACCCGCTCGACCCGACCTGCCAAGGGAAAAAAATGAAGAAAACACGGTCCCAAGCTCCCAGCTCATTTCTTGAAATTTGAAAACAAAGCTCCAGTTCAAAAACCGATACAAAGCCTAGAAAATCTCTCCTTCTCTCCCGCCGCCCCACTAAAATCGTCGACGGCGCTAGTCACCGACTCACCGAAATCCTGAATTAGAAAACCCACGAACTAGGTAAGGTGGAACCCTAACATTTAAAATCTGTATTTGTCAAGTTTCTTAAGAATTGTTATTTTCGTTGCTTTCCTTACTGGTTTGGTCTCTGTTGAGCAGAGGGCATGAACCTTGACCCGGTTAAGTATTTGCAATTCTTGAGGCTGTGGGCAGTGTGGAGTGTGGACATTTCTTTCGGGATTAAGATGGGAGTTCAATACAGGTAAATTAATGGCTTATACCCTGCATATCTGTGATGTAGTTTCGAGATGATTTGGCGTGTGGTGATTTGGCTTGATTTTATGTTATTTGATTGATTTGGTTTCAGGAATTAATATTGGGCGTGTGTGATTTTGCCATGGATTTAGGTAGATTTGAATTTTATTAGACCTTTGATTACTTATTTTAGTTTTGGTATTGGTCAGTAAAGCTGTTTGCATTCATTTACTGTCATCACTCATTTGTAATGACGAACTAAAATACATATTTGAAACTCTTTGTTGGAAAAATAGAGATGTGCCTTTGGGGATTAAGATGAGAGTTCAATACAGGTAAATTAATGGGTTATACCCTGCATATCTGTGATGTAAATTAATAGAGGTCTATGTTGTTCCAACCCGACCCGGCCCGACCCGACCCGACCGACATTTGGTTGGGTTGGGTTGGGTTTCAATCTTTACGTGGGTTGGGTTGGGTTGTATTTCAATCAAACCGACCGTGTTGGGTTGGGTTTGGGTTGGGGCACANATCTTTACGTGGGTTGGGTTGGATTTCAATCAAACCGATCGTGTTGGGTTGGGTTGGGGCAACCCAACCCACGCTCACCCCTATCTCCAATGAAACAAGACTATTTCCATCTATGTTTCTTCCCATTCAAAGTTTTCTATTTTTCCCCATCTGGATCTATTATGACTTAGATAAATAATTCAACATTCCAATCTATTAAGTTCCTGATCCCAGTTTTGGGCAGATCTTTTTTTTTATAGCAATGTAATGCAAAAGGGAAAATTTTTACAATTTTAAATCTTCCGAAATCTCCTATACGTTATCTTATATTTCACTTCATGATCTATGATGTGAATGTATGCTTGCCTTTAAACTACACGAGGCTTTTTTTGGTAAGTACATATCATATACTTGATAAACTAGTTGAATGGCAGCTTAAACATCATTTTTTTGGGTAAGTAGCCAACTGAGAACTTTTTCAACTAGAAATGAACCTTAAATTGCAATGTAGAACTGTGCCTTCCATAAGTAACCCATGCCTTCCATATAACATGTGCTCAAAGATGGAAATATATAAAATCAGAGTTCATACCTTCCACACCGTTGCACGAATGCCAGCTCCATCAGGTATGCCTTGTGATGTTATCCTCCGCAGTTCTCCCATATTTATAATCTTCCTTGATAGCTGAAGTTGTACAAAAGTAAATGTTCAAATCAACTCATAATATGAACCAAAAAGCTCTAAAAACCCAAAAGCACATCCTACAAATCAGACAGATAATAAAGATGAGAAAAGAAAATGATGATGCTGAAGCACATAGAACTATCCATTGCTCATCATTATTGTACTGTGCACATTAATGTCTGCACCCTGGCCAGGCTCGACATAAACCTCCCAGGCTCCCACATTGTCATTTACCTCATCCAAGTCACTCTACCTCTCTATATGTGCATGAATTTTGAGAAATAACAAGATACCTACTCCTCATAAGAATAGGTATAATAGTATTGGCAAACAAGGTTAGTCATCAGATGACATTTGTAGAGATTAAGATATAGCCCTGCTGATATGCATTTGGTAGAAGACATGTACAAGATCTTTGATTTCTTCACAAGGTGAAAAATACTCTCTGTTTTTATATTGTGTTGAAGACCTTGTTTAAATAATATATATGTGACCTTCTAATAGCTTAAAATTTTAGATCAAGTTATTTACATGGTCGCAGAGCTAGTACAAAGGTCACGTGTTCGAGTCTCACCACTATCCATTTAATGAAATTTTGCACATATCGAGCATTGATGGGAAAAAAAGAACCTTGCCTTCACATAGAATTCA